GGGGGGGGGGGGTAGTTCCCAAGAGCACCCTCTGAACCAAAGCAAACCTCTCTTTTGTGCATGTAGTGAAGATTCTGGATCTAATTCTCCTTTCACTGAGTCGAAGCCCTTTGAAATCAACAGGGGTCGTTCCACACACTTTGGATCAAGCCCCTAATGAGTACGGCCCCTTATGGGCGACTTTGTGTCACTTTGGGTACGTTTAATTCCCCAGGGGTGTGTGTGTGGAGGTGGGGAACAGGTTTTCTTTACGCTCGTCCTGTTTCATGCATTGCTAGATCTCTCTATGTGTATGCGTTCTGCCAGTGACTGGGTCGTACGCTGGGGTACAATGACTTGGGGAGATTACGGCAACAAGCGAGGTTCAGTGTAGGCAAGTGTATGGATGCACATATGTTGGGACCAGGCCTGAGGCTAAATGGCAGGGGAGAGTTGCAGGCTGCAAGAGGAAGGATATGGGTTTGTTGCAGGAATTCCTGTGGAGATTCTCTGGCCTATGTTATGCCAAAGGTCAGTCTAGATCAGGGGTCCCCAACGCGGTGCCCACGGGTGCTATGGCGCCCGCCGGGGCATCCATGTGCGCCCGCCTACTGGCCGCCGGACAAGCAGCTGCCGAAATGCCACCGAGAAGCGGTAATGTCAAGAAGTGCTACCGCTAAAATGCCGCCGTATTTCGGATCCATCTAGTGTAGTATGCTGTTTCCAACAGTGGCCAGCATTGGCTTCAGAGGAAGGAGCCTTGCAATTGTAGTTATGGGATAGTCTTCCCCCAGTGCAAAGTTCCTCCTATATTTAGAGGTTGACTTATGCCCTGGAGCTTGAGGTTTTATAGCTCTTCTAAAGATCTTGGGTTTCGCAATATTTGCTGTTCTAAATCAGGTTATTCTTTTTATTCATACAAATGTCTAATTCTTTTCTGAATCCTGCTAAGCTCTTGGCCTGAGTGATATCTTGTGGCAATGAGTCCAACAGTCAATTGTGCACTCTGTGTTTAATTCATGGGCAAATTTCTGCATTACTCACAACTCCACTACGATATTGTTATTATATCCATAGGTAAACTGAGGCACGGAGCGCTTAGATGATTTATCCAGCGCCACACAGTAAATCAGTGATTGAGCTGAACACAGAACCTAGGAATCCTGACTTCCAATTCCTTGCTTTAATTACTATAACCCACCCTACTCAGATTCCCCATGTACAGTTTTTGGCACCCATCCTCAAGCATTACCAGCTAAATCAGGGACAGAGTGGAGGGTCAAGAGGATGAATTTGCATCAAGATTCATAACACTTTGTAAACTCTTTGGGGCAGGGACTGTCTTTTTTCCCCTGTGTTTGTACAGCACCTAGCACGGTGGGGTCCTGGCCCATGACTAGGGCTCTTTCATGCTAAGGTAACACAAATAATAAATAATACTAATAATTTAATGTTTTGTTTTTCATTGGTCATACAAAGTAAATGGTCCTGTCCTTTCCCTCATTTGTACTCCAAACACTCCACTCCACATACACACAATTCCTCTTCATTCATGCTAACAGGGTATCTTTCCTCCGCTTATGACATCACCTGCTCCCACTGCAACAGTTGACAATGACCCAAGAAAATTCAGAACATTCTGATCAATGGGTATGCAGTGGCAGGGGGCAGACAAAGAAAAAGACAAGGTCCCTGGCTTGAAGAGCTTCCATTCAAACCCAGAGCTGGAGATGGCGAAGAGATGAAGACAACACAGGAGAGAAATTGTCTTGGTAAAAAATATAATCCATCAGTCAAGATCTCTGAGTCAGAAGAGAAAGAGAGCTTGCACTCCAAGGGAGTAAAAGCCACTTCATTGAATTCTGACACTTTTCTGAAGTTGGATAGGGTGGGAAAGTTCCCTTTTATAACTGAGAGCCAGATGCCGGCAAATCCACTGTGGATTAGGAATTTTAGAAGAAACACATGGAGTGGGATGGGCAAGCAACCTACCCACAATGACTCCTGTTCCCCCTCGGGTGATTTTGTCTGTTGGATTGGCTAACGTATGATCAAAATGCAATTTTGGAGAGATTTGCATTATATTATGTTACCTCACGTACGGGTATTGTCTTCACTCTCACACACACACGCGTGCGCGCACACACATACAAGTTCAAAATCGAAACACAAGGCTCCTCGCTGCAGCAGCGTCAGCGAGTGAACCAGAGCGAGCTTACGACTGCGCAAATATTGTGAGGGCCTGGGAATCCCATTCAAGGTCCCCCACTCAACCGTTCGCGGCTCCAAAGGCCTAATACTGTACTATCATTGGAAATGTGACCACTGGCTTCAATGCTAGCAGGATCCGGCCCTATCTAAGTGCTCACCTACTTATGTTTCTACTCTCATAGCATCCTGCAGCCTTTACTGCTCTTTCCCCGCTCTCATCTTTGCACATTTCATTCATCCCACCCACCCACCCATGGAAGGATCTCCAATCTCCAAAGACCCTCCCTTTTCTCCTGAAGATCCCTAAAAGCCTTTTCTTCCTCCAGTCCATCCCACACCCATCTGCTCCTCAGTGTTGTCTTGCAACACCCTCTTGAGCCCAGAGTTTTGTTTCTGTTTGTGTTGGAACTAGGGTGACCAGATGTCCCAATTTTATAGGGACAGTCCCGATTTTTTGTTGTTTTTCGTATACAGGCTCCTATTACCCCCCACCCCATCCCGATTTTTCACACTTGTTGTCTGGTCACCCTAG